ATTATTATTATTATTGACACAAAAGCTCAGTCTGTCACAGCAAACGAGATCTATATGCTGGATTTCATATCACAAAATCACAAGTCGAACACTTCCCAAGCATCTAGGACTGTGTGATGTATTTTTGAATGATGTGCGCAGATCCAAGTAAGGTTTATTATTATTATTATTATTGGTAATAATAGATTGTGGTCTGTTGGGGTGATCCTATATTATTTTGTTTATTTATGTCAGTTTCATTAAACAAATCAACTCTTTTAATCCAAGGACGAAAAAATACTTTAACAGCCTCATCACACCAGAGCATGGATACAATTTAAATCCAGTTTCAGCCGCCTGCAGTATTCTGGTGTTGGTAGTTTAGTGGGGCCCTGGACCTGCCTGACTGAGCAGGTTGAAGATCCCTCCCTAAACTACAAGCCCCAGAATTCTGCAGGAGACAGAAACTGGATTTAAAGTGGATCCATGCTCTAGTGCAGTGCAACCATGACATTATTTATTTTGACATTCATAAATCCTTTTAAAATCTATAATGTATTTAATGGTTGCCAAGCCGAAACTGCTTGTCTTCTACAATTCTAAGTCTGAAAAGAATTAGGACCTCATCATACTAGAGTAGTGTTTCTCAACCTGGGGGTCACAAAGGGGGTTTCAGAGAAGTCACAAAAGACCACAGAAAACACATATTTCTGATGGTCTTAGGAACCCCTTTGGCAGAGAAAGCTCTTTGTTTGTTCTTCCCTTCCTTTTTGGAAACAGACAGTGAGTCCTCGCACCAAAAGACCTCATCCTGCTCTCTAGATGTAGGTGGACTACAACTTCGAAACACAAGATCAATGCCCACCAAACCCAGTATTTTCTGTTGGTCATGGGAGCTCTGTGTGCCTGGTTTGGTTTGGTTCAATTCTATCATTGGTCGAGTTCAGAATGGACTTTGAGAGCAGGTGAACTATAAATGCCAGCAACTACAACTCTCAAATGTCAAGGTCTATTTTCCCCCAAACTCCACCAGTGTTCACATTTGAGCATATTAAGTATTTGTGCCAAGTTTGGTCCAGATCCATCATTGTTTGAGTCCACAGTGCTCTCTGGATGTAGGTGAAATACAATTCCCAAATTCAAGGTCAATGCCCACCAAACCCTTCCAGTATCTTCTGTTGGTCATGGGAGTTATGTGTGCCAAGTTTGGCTCAATTCCATCATTGGTGGAGTTCAGAATGCTCTTTGATTGTAGGTTAACTATAAATCCCAGCAACTGCAACTCCCAAATGACAAGATCAATCCCCCTTCAACACCACTAGTATTCCAATTTGAGCATATCGAGTATTTGTGCCAAATTTACTCTAGTGAATGAGAATACATCCTGCATATCAGATATTTCCATGATGATTCATAACAGTAGCAAAATTGCAGTTATGAAGTAGCAAGGAAAAATGAACCTTAGCCAGAGAAGGTTCATTTTATTCAATAAAGGCCACCTAAAGTTTCCAGACCATAAACTGCTAACTGCACACTAATCCTCACCTTAATTACAGGGGAATTAGGTGTTCTCCCTTTTCCAGATCACCTCAAGGTTGTCCAGTAAATTTGGAAGGTTGGAATAGGGAAAGCTACTAAAGTATTAATTTATTGAAAGTGTAGTTTTTTACAATCTGTATTTGGGGTTTAGGTGAAAATTTACCCAAGGTAAATAATCCTGGGAGATGTTTTGCCTCTCCTTAATATGTGGTTTGACTCATTGCTGTCTGATAAGATGTGTCATGTTTGCTCTCCTTCTCTGCTCCAAGTGGGAAGGAATGATTTTAAAATCTCCTTCTAGCTATAGATTTGACAGTTTCCTTCTGCAATTCTGCAATATAAACTGTAGAAACTGTTTGACAGTAGATTAGACTTCCTAAAGGAGGAGGTGAACTGTTCTGCTTTGGAAGTCTTTAAATCAGTGGTTCTCAACCTATGGATCCCCATATGTTTTGGCTTTCAACTTCCATAAATCCTAACAGCTGGTAAACTGGCCGGGATTTCTTGGAAGAGTAGGCCAAAACACCTGGGTAGTCACAGGTTGAGAACCACTGCTTTAAATGAAGGTTTAGATCAGTGGTTCCCAATCTGTGGGTCCCCAGATGTTTTGGCTTTCAACTCGCATAAATCCTCACAGCTGGTGAACTGGCTGGGATTTCTGGGTGTTGTAGGCCAAAACACCAGGGGACTCACAGGTTGAGAACCACTGGTTTAGATGGTATTTAGGTATACTTCTGTTGTATATTCTTCCATGGTAGGAGGTGGCATTAGATTACCCTTGAGGCCCCTTTCAAGTCTTTGATTCTTTAATTCCCTAAACTCATCAATGGTTGGATTTAGAAGAGGCTTTCCCAGTGGTAGACCATCATACATGATAAAAAGCAGAAAACTGGACGTTTTATTGAGCAAACATTTTGAGGGAGTGAGGGTGTCATGTTTGCGTGTGGAGGCAGTGAAAATACAAGTAAAGTGGACAGTGACTTCAGATAAAACAGAAGAAGCTGTTTTGCAAATTGTTTGGCATGGTCAGTGCAATCCAGATGGCCATCTTGCCCCTCTGAAGAACAGGGTTCAAACCTCTGCTCAGCCATGAAAACCCATTGGATGAACAGAAACAAGTCATACCCTCTTAGCCTCAGAAAACCTGTGATAGCGTAATCTTAGAATCACAATAAATCAGTTTGAAGGCACGCAACAGCAGCATCACCCATTACCATCACAGTTAAATCTAATAGAGATTACCTCTGATGTTTTACAGTCAGTCCTCTGTATCCACAGATTCTGCATTAATTTGTTTCTATTCTAAGAGAAAACTTGGGTTTTTTTTTCCATTTTGCGATGCCATTGTATGTATATAATGGACATATGCATTCTTAGATTTTGGTATCCATGAGGATACTGGAACCAATCTCCATTTTCCCATCTTTCCTGCGCAATTCCTGGCAATATGAAGATGGCTAATTGGAGAAACTTGAATATATGTGGTCCCTTGATCTTATTCACAGGCCTCTGTGTGCTTATTTATTTTGTACTAACTTGCCTGAAACCTTAAAGCTGGAGTGGGCTGCAAATGGAGACAAATCATTACTGTTAACACTAGCTAGAAAGCGCTTAACAATTCAACACACAGCTCCTCTTTTGCTTTACTGCTTGCTACGCCAGACACATTGCAAAGTGGTTGCTGAAAGAACCCAGGGATTGAACAGGCAGGGGAGGTGGAATATAGCTCCCTGGTCCTCATAATTTCAGGAAGACCTTTACTTGCAGTATTTTCCTCAGTAATTCTTCCAGATGTATTAAGTGTGAGGCATAAGGTTTTCCCTACCAGATTGTTTTCCTTTCTGTGCTGCAAGCGAGCATGGTTAAAAGGAGAAAAAAAAAATAAGATTATGTGTACCTTTGTGTTTAAATGAAATGAATGTTCACAAACTTTTCACATTGAGCCCGTCTACTCCCTGAAGGATCCAAGTATAGAGAGTACCCAAATTACAAACAAGGTAGGTTCTGTAGGTTTGTTCTTATATTGAATTTGTTTATAAGTTGGAACAGGTATGTCTTTTCAGTGTAACTCCAGCTAACTATATATATGTATGTGTGTGAGAGAGAATGAATAACATGGGGAAAGGTTAACACCACTGTGGTGTTTGTTTTGCCCTCTGTGCTCCCCTCCCCCTTTTAAGAAGAATTAATCTCACTTTCTGTCCCTGTGATACTAACTGTTGGATTTAAACCATAAATTCCTGGAATCAGGACAAAGTTTGCTCGGACCTTCTGGTGGCACAGCGGGTTAAAACTCTGAGCTGCTGAAATTGCTGACCGAAAGGTTGGTGGTTGGTAGAGTGGGGTGAGTTTCTGTTGTTAGCCCCAGCTTCTGCCAACCTAACAATTCGAAAACCTAAAAGTTCGAAAACTACAAGAAAGGAGATTCCATTTGAACATGAGGAAGGACTTCCTGACTGTGAGAGCCGTTCAGCAGTGGAACTCTCTGCCCCGGAGTGTGGTGGAGGCTCCTTCTTTGGAAGCTTTTAAATGGAGGCTGGATGGCCATCTGCCAGAGGTGATTTGAATGCAGTATTCCTGCTCCTTGGCAGGGGGTTGGACTGGATGGCCCATGAGGTCTCTTCCAACTCTTTGATTCTATGATTCTATGAAAACATGCAGATGTGAGTAGATCAGTGGCAGGAAAGTAACAATGCTCCATGCAGTCATGTTGGCCACATGACCTTGGAGGTGTCCACAGGCAACGTCAGCTCCCTGGCTTACAAATTGAGATGACCACCACCCCCCAGAATCAGACACGACTAGACTTGATGTAAGGGGAAACCTTTAGCTTTACCTTTACTTGCTCATCCAGGAACAGGTATTTGAGTGTCTGATATGGATGGGAAGTGTGTGTGTAGCCTTCTGTATATACTTGGATTACAGCTCCCATGAACCTTCACCATTAACTGGCAGTTTGGGCTGATGTGAGTTACAGGCCAACATTGTGTGTAGGTCCACAAGTTCCTCTCCTTGGTCAAGAGAGTACCAGTGTAATGTTGTGTTTAGTGTGCTATTTGTGTATTACTGATGATTCCCTGGATCCGATCCTTAATTTGTCACAAAGGTCAGTGAACACTTTTGTATCAGTCACTTCTCCCCAAGGTTGTTGAGAGAGTAAACAAGGAGAAGAACCCTATGCAAGACATTGAATTTCTTTTTTATAACTTGATAAAATGCAAGGATCATGGAGGGATCTTTTACACATTTTGCAAAATGTAGACATAAATTAAAAACTCAGTATATCCTTTCTCTTGAAGAAATTAAATGGAAAATGTGCTTTTAGATTCCAAGATGTTCCAGTGAATGTTTGCAAAGCAAACTTTTCCAAGGTTTTGTTTTATGGCGTGGTTTATTTGTGGAGTCCCTGACACTGCTATTTTTCTTTTATTTGCTCTGCTTCCTTCTCTCTCTAAATGTCACGTTCTTAATATCTCCTCTAGGGCTTCATTAGGATGTTTAGCGTTGGTTACTTGATCCAGTGTTGCCTTCGAATCCCATCAGCATTCCGGCATCTGTTTACAAAACCTTCCCGTCTGCTCTCCCTCTTCTACAACAAAGAAAATTTCCAGCTTGGGGCTTTCCTGGGGTCATTTGTCAGTATATACAAAGTAAGTTTCTAAAAGTGCTGGGTTTTTAAAAGATGGAATTTAATTATTCTACCAATTACTCTTTTGCAACATCAAAACCAATAATTCCACTTAATGAACATCTTTATTGTACAAGGCCTGAGGAACACTACCTCCCACTTGCATTCATCTTGTTTTCCTCCAAGAAGGGTGGGAGTGGGCACAAATCAGTGTCATCAACTGCTTTTTTAACAACACGAGAACTTAAAAAGGAAACATTTTCTCTTTTTATTGAGGATTGGTCACAAAACAAAAGTACATACCCCTCCCACTAAAGCACCAAGGGGAAGAGGTGTTCCATTGGTTTTTATTTTGCTTGGCCCTGCGTATCTTATCTGTAGTGCAAAAAACACTTAAAAACAATACAATAATTAAAATGAAGAACAATTTTAACAAATATATACTTATTAGTATTTCAATGGGAAGTGTGGGCCTGCTTTTGGCTGATGAGATAGGATTGTTGTTGTTGTGTGCTTTCAAGTCGTTTCAGACTTAGGTTGACCCTGAGCAAGGGCCGGGTAAATGACCTTGGAGGGCCGTATCTGGCCCCCGGGCCTTAGTTTGAGGGCACTTGGCCTAGGCCCATTCTGAAATCCTGGCCCAAACAGTAATTTTGTACAAAAGAATAGGGTAAGATTGATTTTTTAAATGTACTGTATATGTGTTGTTTTGATAATTTTATGCTTATGCTGTTTACTTTATATGTTTCGGTGATGTTACGTGGAAACCGCCCAGAGTCCCCCTCAGGGAGATAGAGCAGTATATACATAAAGTTTTATTATTATTTATATAAGACTGAGGGTGATTCCAGGCAGGATTTAATGATAATAATAATAATAATAATAATAATAATATATAATGGAGAAAAATCTTTTATGTTATAGTACATAGTGTTAGCACATGCCCCACTCATTTCAGTTTCCCTCTTTCATGCCACTCCAGGAAATAATTCCCCACTCGGGAAGTTGAGAGTGATTGCTTGTTTCCTCTCCTAAATACCCCATTGGAGTTACAGGATAGCAAACTCAGAATTCCCGCTAATGCACAAATGGAGCAACAACCAAGTCAAAATCTAGATTGGGTTGTTGTAGGTTTTTTCGGGATATATGGCCATGTTCTAGAGGCATTCTCTCCTGACGTTTCACCTGCATCTATGGCAAGCATCCTCAGAGGTCACTCACTACCTCTGAGGATGCTTGCCATAGATGCAGGCGAAACGTCAGGAGAGAATGCCTCTAGACCATGGCCATATAGCCCGAAAAAACATACAACAACCCAGTGATTCCTGCCATGAAAGCCTTCAACAATACATTGAACATCTAGATTTCCTTGTATTCCCACTCATCCAGGTTCAACATATTTTGAAAGAATTGCCTCTTTACCCACAGTGGTAAATGTCTCAGTAGGCTCAAATGATTATCTATGAATTAGAATCTAAGAGTTGGAAAAGACCACAAGGGCCATACAGTCCTACCCCCTGACATTAGGAATAAACAGTCAAAAAATAGGATGCTTGCCATCGATGCAGGCGAAATGTCAGGAGAGAATGCCTCTAGAACATGGCCATATAGCCCGAAAAAACCTACAACAAACCAGTGATTCCAGCCATGAAAGCCTTCGACAATACATTGAACATCTCTATGGGGAGAAACTGTTCCAAGACACACGATATTAAGATCTTTTCTAATATTTAAACATGCCTATCATGTCATGCTTTAGCCTTCGTCTTCAGGCTAAACATAACCAGTTCCCTAAGACATTCCTCATAAGCTGCGGTTTCCAAACCTTTTACCAATTTGGTTGCCCTCCTCTGGACACATTTCAGCTTTTCAATATCTGTCTTGAATTGTGGCATCAAAAACTAGAAAAAGTATTCCATGTGAGGTTTGACCAAAGCAGAATGGTGTGGTACTATTGCCTCCTTCGATCTACACACTGTATTGCTATTGATGTAGCCTAGAATTGCATTGGCTTTTTCAGCTGCCATAGAATCATAGAGTTGGAAGAGACCTCATGGACAATCTAGTCCAACCACCTGCTAAGAAGCAGGAAAATCGCATCCAAAGCACCATATCACACTGTTGACTCATCTTCAGCTTGTGGTCTACTAAGACTTCTAGAAACCTTTCACAAGTACTATTTTCAAGCTCAGTATCACCTCTCCTTACCTGTATACTTCCCAAACCTCTCAACACAGTGATCTTCTTCTTCTTTTTGCTATGGACCCAAGGGAAGAAGATAGCTCAAAACATGTTATCAGTAAACAATATTTAAACATCTTGGAAAAGGGAAGAACAAGGTCATTGCTGTTTTTAGGGACCTTTTGCATATACTCCTTTGGATTTGATGAAGGCTTTGTCCTGCTCAAAAATTACCTTTTATTCTACTTCCGAATACCGTGCGTAGATTACTTTATCAATTATGGTGCTGAGTAGCTACTGAATGGCCTTTATTGTTGAAGTTATAATAGAGTTCTCTGTTTACTTGATTAAATTTTAGAGATGTTATTGTGAGCTTTTTCACTAGATTATTGTGCTATGTCATCTAATAATGTTGCTGTGATTATCTTCAAAATACAGGGTACGAGCTGTTTCTTACGGTGGGTAAGGAACCTGGACGATGAACTCCATGCGCTTATTGCAGGTCAGTTTGCGTGTGTCAGGTGACCTGCTCTAATGCTTTCTATGCATCCGCCTGAATTCAAGGATGCTGTGTGTATGTGGTCCATGGAATTCATGTGACCTGCCAAGGGCTCTTAATAATAATAATAATAATAATAATTATTATTATTATTATTATTATTATTATTATTGACACAAAAGCACAGTATGTCACAGCAAACGAGATCTATATGCTGGATCACAAAATCACAAGTCGAACACTTCCCAAGCGTCTAGGACTGTGTGATGTATTTTCGAATGATGCGCGCAGATCCAAGTAAGGTGGCCTTTTATTATTATTATTATTATTATTATTATTATTATTATTATTATTGTTATTATTATTATTATTATTATTATTATGGAACACAATACGCCAGACATCACGATTGTGGAAAAGAAAAAAGCTTGGATTATTGATGTTGCCATACCGAGTGACAGTCGCATGGAGGAAAAACAACAGGAAAAACTCAGCCGTTATCAGGAACTCAAAATCAAACTGCAAAGGCTCTGGCATAAACCAGTATAGGTGGTCCCAGTGGTCATCGGCACACTGGATGCCGTGCCAAATTGGCAGATAAAGCTCTCTGGGGTTCAGTAGGATGAAACATGTGGTTCTTGATACCTCTAGAATATCTGTGCAATGCTATTGTGTTCTTTTGTCCATTTATCTCAACAATAATGCTATATATTTCCATGTTACATAGTATACAGAAAATGACTTACTTGTTTCTTAATGCAGGGTCTCTGGCAGGAATGTCAATGATGTTTTACAAAAGCACTACTATTTCTATGTATCTGGCTTCTAAACTAGTGGAGGTAAGTCAGTGCTCTTGTTCTCTGTCTGTCTGTCTATCTGTCTGTCGTGGTCCCCCTCTTTCTACGTATATGCTCTCAGCATCTGAGCCATAGAGGAAAGCTTCTAGTGATATCTGTTCCTAGAATCTATGCTTCTATAGTCTTTTCTTTGTGTATGAGGGTTCTTTACAGGGGGAGAATAAGATGCAACCACCAAATTTTATTTTGCTTTTGTTGTCATTTCATAATAACAGTGTTTATTTATAACACCCTTACAACAAAGAGGCAGAACATCAAACATAAACAAGCACAGTAAAACATACCACCATAAATATACATAAAATTCCTAGCATCCATCATCCACTACCCATCTCAGCAGCAACTTAATCCAGTGAATAAATAAGGAAATCTTCAACCCCTACCAATAATGGGTAAGATCCTACTCCAAACAGAAATCCAAACATTGTTCCATAGATGCAGAGCCAGATCTTGAAGGCTCACAGCTTTAACCGAACTATGCGCATCAGTGGAACAAACAATAATCCTTTGCGTGTTGCTAGATGATTTGTACCATGCTGTTCAGGCAGCCAAATACTGGCAAACATTAAAGTTCAGAGCCCTAAATACAAGAACCAAATGTTTGGAATGGGTTCCAGATCAAACTGATAGCCAGTGATGGGATTCACGGGAGAAAGAAACGTGAATATTTGAGGAAATTTAAAATGACCTAAAATAATACAATTTTAGAGTGTATTATAGGCTCCGAGGAAGTCCTGGGGTTTGATAACTTTTTAAAAAGCACATCTTTCATTGTTCCTCATTAATGGCAGATTGGGTTATATCTCACATGGTGCCCATGGTCTAATTTATCAGTGGCCAATTGGCAGTCATTCACTCCTTTTCCACACTCTCATAACTAATATTTGAGGCTGGATCTACACTGCCTTATAATCCATTTTCAGAATACAGATTAACTGCATTAAACTGGATTATATGGAAGTGTAGACTCATATGACCCAATTCAGTGCAGTTCAGTCTGCATTATATGAGTCTACACTGACCCATTATCATGCAGTTCAAGCTGCATTATATGGCAGTGTAGATGGAGCCTGAGAGAATGAAGTTTTGAAAAAAAATAATTAATGGAGTTGTTAATGCCTGGGCAGCACAGCTTTCTCCCAGCTTGTTTCCTTTGTGTGGACATAAATACAAAATGGAGCAGAGGAGTTACTGCTTTGCCCGGATCCCAGTGTTTCATGTACTTTTTGCACTTCATGAAATTCTAAACTTCTAATCTCTCCGGAGCCTGCGTTTTCCTAGACATTTTGCAAAGGATATCATATATTTTGGCCCCTAAAATCTGGTCCCATGTTGGGGCCAAATGGGATTCCCCAATCCTAAATCTGAAAGTAGGAGTCAACAGCGTTCCCACCAGCCCAACCCTTGCATTTGGTATATATGCAGCAGTCAGGCTTTAGGTACCATGTGTCTGTGATCCATCTGCTGGGATTGCAGCTGATGTGGTGCTGCCCTCCCTCTTCTCTGTGCAGCTGGGCTGACTCTGAACAGCTGAGTAAAGTTCTCATCTCATCATGGCTGGCTTCCGATCATGAGATCTGCATGGTTTTGGGTGTTCCTATCAAATATGAAATTTTGTGAGAACTACGGCATGTTACCAGAGGCCTGCCTCATGTGTCTCACATTGCTTTGCAGAGAACCTGGCATCTCTTGACTTGTGTAAAATAGATAGATGCCTCAGAGATCTCGGGGTGTTCATTTACTATGCAGATCAGGGATGGGGTGTACATTTCATAGAATCATACAATCAAAGAGTTGGAAGAGACCTCATGGGCCATCCAGTCCAACCCCCTGCCAAGAAGCAGGAATATTGCATTCAAATCACCCCTGACAGATGGCCATCCAGCCTCTGTTTAAAAGCTTCCAAAGAAGGAGCCTCCACCACACTCTGGGGCAGAGAGTTCCACTGCTGAACGGCTCTCACAGTCAGGAAGTTCTTCCTCATGTTCAGATGGAATCTCTTCTCTTGTAGTTTGAAGCATTGTTCTGCTTCAAGGAAGCAGAAAACAAGCTTGCTCCCTCCTCCCTGTGGCTTCCTCTCACATATTTATACATGGCTATCATATCTCCTCTCAGCCTTCTCTTCTTCAGGCTAAACATGTCCAGCTCCTTAAGCCGCTCCTCATAGGGCTTGTTCTCCAGACCCTTGATCATTTTAGTCACCCTCCTCTGGACACATTCCAGCTTGTCAATATCTCTCTTGAATTGTGGTGCCCAGAATTGGACACATTTACCTGGTGTGCACTAACTAGAGAAAAGCCAGTGGTCCATTGCAGCTTTCGTTCCTCGATTCAACTCAATGTTAAACAAGAGGAGAGTCTAGAGACATTTTTTCCTTCACTTTGGCCAAGTGAACATCACTGGAGTTCACAGGAACAAGGAGTGAAGCAACAAAGGCATAGTGGTAAATGGTAAATCATATGTGCTTATCATCACACTTCTCATTGCTACGTCTCCAGAAGAAGAAGAAAAAGGCCAGAAACTCAGGCAGTTGTGTTGATCTGTATCCATAGAGCGCTCCTGGCAGTTTTCATCTCCAACAGGAATTGGCTGCTTTGTAAAGCAAACAAATACCAATAGCCAGTTCAGGCCACAGCAAAATACTTTGAATTCCAGCAGGAATAAGTCCTTTAATAATACATTATAGCTGCAAAAATCTACACTCTGTTGCGTGCCATTATAAGGATTTCATCTAAGATAATAATAAAAATCCCAGTTCTTTAGCCCATAGAGGCCTGGTTCTGCTGCACCATTGGAAGCTAAGCCATTGCTCCCACATTGGAACTGAATTGGGATAGTGTAGGATGGACACTGTGGAAAATAGAACAGCAGAAAATTTGCACGTGAGACATCGTTGTGTTCAGAAAATCCAATGGTGATGGCAGAGATTTCTGTTGGAAAAACAGTCTCAATACAATGGTATCTGCATGCTCACTTTGGTACTGAAGTTAGTATATTTACTATAACCAAATTAAAGAACAAAGGCAAGTCAATGCTTCCCCATATTTAAGCAAATGGTTAGACTATCATATTAGAGGGGTTTTTTCCTCCTTGAGAAGAAATGGATGATCTCGAGCAAAACTAGTCAAGAATCAGCTTGGAAATGCAGAATTTCCTGTACTCCTCAGGTTTCTTTGTACCTTTGGACTTTCGGGAAAGTTGTTAAACTAAACAGAGCATTCTACTACTCTCAATCTTGTTGTATAATAATGCCGGGCTGGACTGTTTCTGTGTGTTCTTTCTGGGGTGTTCTCCAGGGCATTGTGGCAGTGGTGAATGAGAATCTCTGCACGATTTACCCTCTTACAGCAGCCAAAGTGAACTGACCAAAGAGGAACATGTTGCTTAGGAAACACACAATATGTGGATAAAAATAAACTTCTGATGTTTCCTTCAAAGGAAGAAGTGGAGGGAAATATTTGGAAAGTATACAGTATTTGGAAAGTTTTTTCACTGAAAGTGTTCAAATACTTGGTGTAATTAAAAAAAATCTTTTAATCTCTCTTGCTTTGATTTAAAGATAATGGTGGTAAACCTCAAACTAATTACTGTAGTAGATACTATTGCAACCAATTAAATGGCTTCAGACTTAGTGTTTGTTGGTATAGCTGAGGTCATGTACCGATTCACTTTATAAGCATAAAGTCTGGTATCAGTGTGCCATCCCAACTTTCTTCTCCTAACATTATCTATAAAAAAATAGTATGTCCAATTTAGATGTTGGATCGGGGTTTAGCACAGCTGGTAAATCACCAGCAATGATAAGATCTATCAACCAAAAGGTTGCCTGTTCAAAGCCCCAGGTCGGTGTGAGCTGTCAACTGTCAAGTCCAGCTTACTGTTGAACTAAGCAGTTCAAAAACAGCTTGTGCTGTAATTAGTGAAAATAGGTACCACTAAAACAAGCGGGGGAGGTATTTTACCACACCATAAAGGAAAAAAGATCTGAAAATGCTGGGTGACCAAAAAGAAGAAGGATGTCCTGATGGCTGTTCGTCATAGAGGCTGGAGCAACAACACCCCCCCCCCCCCCCCCCCCCCACGGCTGGATTCAAGCACAACCTTGCAAGGCAACAAAAAGCTGGATGTCAACACAACATATCTCCTTCTATTCTGTTTGTTTCTGTGTTGTCTATCCAAACAAATGGCATTGAATGTTTGCCGTGTATGTGTATTGTGAGTCCTTTTGGGGAGATAGGGCAGAATATAAATAAAGTGTTATTATTATGTTGTTATTATTATCTTTCCACTACACTTCCCTAGGGTTTTTTTTTTTTTTGGGTCTGGCATTAGACAAATAATTATATTTTTATTTGCACTTATTTTTCTTTGCCTAAACACTGCTTGCCCAGTATTGCATTATAGCAAATTTTTGGAGGGAAAAACTGGCTGTTTTGTCTTTGGGACAACAGCTATGTTCACAGGTAACAATAAACCAGGATATTTGGTTCAGCACAAAGAATCAGTGGACTGGGGAGCATTGGATATGGACAAATCAATGATCTGCAGTTTCTTGATTTTTCCAGTGTTAGGTTTGTTTAATCCTGGTACTGTTTCAGTTTCTGATCTTTGTTTTGAAAAGCCAGCATGAAAACTTATACATATTTTTGTGAATGACTCTTTTTCCAAGTATGAGAGAGAACAAAATGCGGTATTATGTGATCCATCCTGTGGAATGATGTGATGTTCCTCAAGTACCATTTTGGTGAAGCAATATTCCTGTAACTATAAAATTAACCTCAAAAAGAGTAGTTATCCCTAATGAAGTTATAGTTTTAGCTTAATGCAGTTAATATCTTTAAGAAAGGCTTGATTGCGAATAACTGATTATTTATTGCTTCCCCCAAGTGCGAATTCTCTCTAAAGATCACAAGGTTGTGACCTAGGGAGGCATCTTCTACTCTCAACCATCTCCTCCACTGGTTCTCCTTCCCACATCTACAATGCTGACTCAGTTGAGTTGGCTCCATTGCTTTGTCCCTCTTGTCTTTCTAAAAAGTCTCATACAATTGATAATTTATTTGAATGATATTTCTGTTTTATCTTGTAGACCATGTATTTCAAAGGCATCGAAGCTGGAAAAGTTCCGTATTTCCCACACGCGGACAGTATCATCTATGCTGTATCCACAGCTATATGCTTCCAAGCAGTAAGTATTTGACCTTGAGTTCTGTCTTTTAGTTATGCTGACTAATCACAGTGCAATAAAAAAATCTGGAAGGAAGGAGATGGTTTGACAGCGACTCATATTTGTGGCAGGATTGGGTGACTCCTTTATTTTCCAACTAAAACATTTGCTGGCACTTTTAGTCCAGGGAGGAGAGTTGCCAAATATTCCTGTACTTGAGAATATGTTCAGTAACATAAAATGTCCACTGCTTCCACAAATAATTGCTCACATGCGCAAAGAACCCATATGAGCTTGCCCTTGGTCTTTTGTGAGTAGAGAATTTGCTATCATGTAAGTTTGATTGCTCACCTGTTGCAGATTCCATCAAGATTGCTTATATCAGTACTTTTTGGTAGAAATGATGACTGATGTCACAATGCCATGTACCTCTGTTTGACAAGATGAGCTGGCAATATAATGACCTTCAAAAAACAACATGGTTATTATGATTCTATTTATTTATTTATCGTATCACGAGCGAACCAAACAGCTGTATTATGTTTTTAAAAAACAACACAAAATTTGAAAATTTGGCATTCTATTAAATGTCCTTTGACCAGTAATTGGCCACTTGCAGTGCCTCTGGTGTTGCTATAAGAAGGTCCTCCATTGTGCATGTGGCGGAGTTGTAATAGGTGGTCTGTGGTTTGCTCTTCTCCACATTCGCATGTAGCCCCATTTCTTAAGGTTGGCTCTACATCTCGTAATGCCAGAGCACAGTCTGTTCAGCGCCTTCCGAGTCGCCAAGTTTTCTATGTGACCAGGAGTGAGTCTCTCATTTGGTATCAGCCATTGATTGAGGTTCGGGGTTTTAGCCTGCCGCTTTTGGACTCTCGCTTGCTAAGGTGTTCCAGCGAGTGTCTCTGTAGATCTTAGAAAACTATTTCTTGATTTAGGTCATTGCCGTGCTGGCTGATATCTGAACAGGGGATGGGCCAGAAATATCATTGCCTTGATCCTTTCCGGTTAAACAATGTAATTTCTCCAGTGGTGTAGGGCGCAGACACCCGTGATAATGCGGCATATCTATTATGATTCGAAGGACTCAAAATTAGTTCTTGTTTATTGGCCTTTAGTCACTGATATTTGGAGTAGCTTGTATCTGCAGATGAAGACCTTAAAATTTTTTTTTGTTTTGATGTTAGGTAACTTAGGCAAGGGTTTTGGACAGATAGCTCTCATTTTAATCCAGTGAAAACAGCAGACTGTGGATTCTGTTTTTTCCCCAAGTTGAACTCAAGGTCTTTTTCACAGGCTGTGATGGAAGTTCAGAACCTGAGACCTTCATATTGGAAATTCCTATTACGGCTGACGAAGGGAAGGTGAGTAACTGATGACGGTTACTAGTGTACAGTGGCAATTCTGTAAGATGAATTCCTGAAAAAGATCAGTATGGATGAATTGTGTAGCAAATGATGAGATGATCAGATAATGGTGAGTGTATGTCAAAATGGCAAGAGCATCAGGCTCATATTTAGGAGGCATACTCATCCTTTTCTCTGGCATTCCCTCATTCCTGCTTTTGTCTGACAGTTTCATTTTTATGTCTGTTCATGATGACAATATCACCATCTGCAGTGGTTTGCAGTTTGTTTCCATATGGAAAATCTGATTTTGACACATAAATAGCACCAAGTTGTCTGAAATACTTGCTTCTTCCTTTAGAGACTGAGATCTTCTGCAAAAACCTTTTTATGTTCCTTTTTCCACCTTGAGAGAACCAGATTGGTAGGTTCTTGTAACAGGGCTTTCTCTGTGGTGGCACTTTGGTTGTACAACTTGCTCCCAAAGGAAGCTAATGGACAACTGTGACTGCACTGTTTTGTATGGCCTTTGGTCCTTTAAAGTAGAGTTGGCCATATTTTTGTCTATTAAATGTTGTCCCTTGGGTATTAGCAGGGTGAGAGGTGATAAGCAAATCTTTAAGCAAACATTCTTCGTTTGTAAATGGCATGTTTGCTTTAGGGAAATAAATCTCAATTGTACCAGATGATTGTTTCTGGGCCATTTAGCAGAAACTCCAGAGATGGAAAGTGTTCTACTCTCACATAAGTAGTCAAAAAAAAACCCCACAAAACCCTGAGTCTTTTTACAAAGAGAAAAAGTGATATATAAATACCGTAAATACAATAATAATAATAATAATAATAATAATAATAGTAATACAATTCATAACACATAAATAAAACACAAAACAGAACACAATTAAATAACAAATATTAACAATAACTTTATGAATATTGGATTAAAACACAGTTGGTCCTCTGAGCTAAAAGGGGCTTGCTACTATAAATCCATATCCTAAAGGTTAACTAATCAGGTCTTCAAATCCTTCCTGAATGCCGTGAGGGTGGATGCTTGCCAAATCTCCCTGAGGAAGTTGTTCCAGAGTTGGGGGGCCACTACTGAGAAGACCCTCTCTCTTGTCCCTGCCAGTCTCGTTTGTGAAGGAGGAGGGACTGAGAGGAGAGCCCTCCAGCCGATTATAAGGCCCGAAAAGGTTTACACTGGGGGAGGGGGGTGCGGTCACGTAAATAGGCAGGACATGAGGCTTCTGAGGCATCTTCAGAGGCAGCCCTACGTAGAGTGCATTGTAGCAATCCATGCGAGATGTGACTAAGGCATGGACCACTGTGGCCAAATCTGTCTTTTCGAGGTACAGTCACAGTTGGTGTACAAGCTTAATTGTGCATAGGCCCTCCAGGCCACCGCCGACACTTGAGCTTCAAGCGTTAGCACTGAGTCCAGAAGAAGCCCAAGATGTAGACCTGTCTCCTCAGGGAGAGTGTAACCCCATCAAGCATAGGTTGCCATTCTATACCCTGATTGGCCCCACAACAGACCAGAAACTTAATCTTGTCAGGATTAATTTCAGTTTGTTGGCCCTCATCTAGCCCGTCACATCATCATCATCTCGTATGAACCATTTTGGCGATCACATTTGAACATTTTATGAAACCACAAGCTATAGGAAATCTTCAATATTAAGTTCTGTGCTTATATTTTTTACTTAGACAGAAAGTTTTTTTGTTGGTCCTATATGATAACACACACAGAGATATATCCATAGTTTTGTAATTGTGAATATATAGGGATCATCCTATAGGAGCAGCAAAAAACTCTCTCAATTGCTTCACCATTTCTCCACTTAATATGAATGGACATCCATCCACACTATTGGCATCATCTCCTTGTTCAGACTTAACTTTGTACTCCAAGGGAACTGCTAATTGACTCTCATATCTTGTATTTTTTAGGTTTGCTCTCATGAACAGGAAGGTTTTGGATGTATTTGGCACCGAAGCATCTATGCATTTCAAGGATTTTATACCTAAACTCGACCCTAGGTATACGGTTGTACCCCCCGAGATCCCTGTTGAGCAGTCCTGGAAGTGATCCAAGAGTCTGTGGTTACGTCGGAGGAGCTAATTAATCTAACAGTCAGATAGGCTGAGGAGGACTCACTTTCCACGTCAGCACAGTTTCAGTGTGTTATGTTATGGTGCCAATCAGAACACACTCAAACGTTATAGAGAGGAGAGGTGTTAATTCCACTTCTCTCATAGTAGAAAAAGCATTTCTGCACCACTGAGACTGGTTGTCACAGTCTGATGATAGAGTTTTATATAAATATATAAATAAATAAATATATCTCGACGAAATAATATATCAAAAAAGAAAATTTATGAAATCCCTGAATGTGCATAAAATAAAATAAAAAAGGCTTACATTACATTCATTTTAATTCATTCCAATAGATAATTTTTTTGGAAAAAAATTGATATTTTTGCATTTAGAAAATAAATGGTACATGGAAAAACATACACATACAGATGCTTTATAGGTCTTAAAGTTATTCTACATTTTATTTCCAAAGTCAATTATAGTGGGGAAGCTTTTCTGTGTTCTAGATGGAATTTTTTTAAAAAGAAAAAAATACTTTTATCACTGAAAACTGTTTAAAGAGGCAATATTTGTTGCCCTGTTTATGACTGCACTGCTTACGTTCAGGTTTGGCTTTGAAAACTGCCTTCCTAGAGCAACGGCTCTTCTCTTAAATCCAGTTGTACACCTTGGATCACGTTGAAAGGGAGAGAAAACACTTAATTTTTTTAGGTCTGGATAACATAGCTCTTAAAGAACTTATAGACGCTTATATGAATACCAGAAAAAGGCAAGACCACCGCAAGATGGAATGTAGTAATTTTTGGATGTTTGAGTAAATCTCACAAACGACTAGATGAATTTAAGAAATGTACACAAAAAAGACTTCAGAAAATGGACATTTCCTCGAATGTGGAATTAACTTGTCTAAGCCTGTGTACGATGTCAGTAATACAATGGCCTTTGAAAGGAATGAAAACCCCAATGTGTAATGGGTGAATAAAACAGAATGATTTGTTAAGAATATGTATGCTGCTTCCTTCTGAAAATGTTATTTGTTGAAAGAGTAACAGATATCAAATAGCCATATATATAAACCAGTAGGCGAAGTCATATAGCACAAGTTGGCCATTGCTTCAAAGCCACTTCCCTCTTTTTCTGACATGTACTGAGCATACCTTGATGGTCTTAATTCCATTTCAATAACCAGTTTACTATATCTGAGTATGAACCGTGGTGAAGAACTCTGCAGCATATGAAAGAGAAAAAGAAACAGCATTATCACTTAGAGTCATCTACTATGCCAAAAGTTGAAATAGCTGCAGTAGGGTCTCACTTTTCCAACACAGACGGGCCGGCAGAATGTTGGATAAGTTGAAAATATTGGATAATAAGGGGGGAGAGGTTAAGGAAATGCCTTTTAAACGTCAAATTACATGATGATTTTACAAATTAAACACCAAAACATGTTTTACAACAAGTTGACAGAAAATACACAGTAACGTTATGTAATAATTATTGTATTTACGTATTTAGCACCGAAATAATATAATATAATAATAAAATTAATTTATACCCCACCACCATCTCCCCAGTGGGGACTCGGAGCGGCTTACATGGAGCCAAGCCCGGACAACATATTACAGCAATAAAATCAGAGCATAACATTGCAATGCATTGCAAACACTGACTACAGCAATGTGCTGTTTGTTTTTCTAGGCGGCAATGCACAGCAGGCCTCGCCACGTGCCGGGCGCCTGCCAGGATAGGTAAAATGCAGCTGGTATAGGCCGAACGCTATACCCAAAGTCTGCGCCGGCAGTGTCATGCCCCTCCTGGTGTGTACCAAGCACGCGGAGAGACACGCTGCGTGTTGCTGCCTAGAAAAACAGCTGTGGGTCCGCGCCGGAGGCAGATTGCATTGGATAATACAGAACTTTGGATGAGCGAAGGTTGGATAAGCGAGACTCTACTGGATAGGCAAAATATCAGAAAGATGAGCTGTATAGTTCAGAGGCTGATTCAATTGCTGTATGCTGATTTCCCCCAACAATGTGCATGTATAGATGTGAAATATTCTATATCACATTTGCATATATTTACATACAATGGAATAATTTCATATACTGTAAAAATGAAGTTAACACGATACCTGACTGACAAAGACATACAATAGTGTGGGGGAGAATTTGAATTCATTAGAACTTCTTTTTTCAAGGCAGATAAAAGTAAGGTTTGACATTTGGAGGAAAGATCTGAATGCATGAAATATAAAGAAGTTCAGTGATATATGTGCATACTGTGGTAAATATATTGTTGGGTTTAAAAAACTTTTCACCATATGAGTCTGTAACAGTAGTGTTATTTTAGATCATGCCTAGATCTCCCATCCTTTAAAAAAAAAATCAGCATCCAGCATGAAGGACTAGCTCTGGAGTACTCAAATGCTCACTCACAACTTTGTGTCATTTTAGCCCAGTGGTTCCCAACCTGTGGTCTGTGGATCACCAGTGGTCTGAAAGAACTAAAATATGGTCTGCGGCCTCACTGTTACTACACCGTTGCAACGAGAGCAGCTGCTCTCGCAAAACCCTCTTATAGAGCCGAGGCTTATTAAATTTGGTTTTCTGTGGGCAACTACTGGATGGCATATGTTCTGTATCAGAAACTAGAGCTGATGTGGTCTATCCAATGCAGTTTTCTGAAACAGCACCCCAAACAAAACAAACCAAATCTAAAGTTGACTAAAAAACTGATTTGTAACCCTTTTGGTACTGATGTTGGAGAGTGGTCCCTGGTCAAAGTGGTCTCTGGTCAAGTGATCCCTGGTCAAAAAAAGGTCGGGAACCACTGTTTTAGCAGGTCCTTATTCCAGGTTTCATGCTGCTGTAGTTATCTGAATTTTCAAAAAAAAAAAATGGGCCAAGTACCTCTGTCCATGTTGAATGTCTTCTTGAATGCTGTTCACGTGTATCTCTAAAGAGAATGTTAATCATGTTACTTGTTTTTATTTCTTCATGCACTAGGTTTGATATGTTTGCCAAACCATTGTGAGCCCATCCCTGCCTTTGAGGGGGTTGGGTGGAGAAGAGTCTTCTTTCTCATTCATTTTTAACTCGGCTTCTGTGAATAAACTGCCTTCTTTTGGTTGCTTGTTAAAGCAAACTGAGTGATGGCTAGATGGGTAAATTGTCTCTGAGTCTCTTGCAGGTAGATCACATGTGGCGAATGAATCAGGATATTGGTGGCCCCAGCCCTTGCCAAAAGCCATAGAAAAGCATATGACTGATCTTGAACTCAGGGAAATTTGTCCTTGGTCCTAGTAGAAAAGAAACCTGTTAGGGTGGGAGAATATATATCAGTGCACCCTTCATCTGACTATCGAGAAGCTGGGAAAGCTCTTATAGTGTTACAAAGCTACAATCAGCAGTGGCAATTGTACACAGGCCACAAGGCACTTTCCTCCTCAGAACATCCTTGTGTATAGATACTTCTATTGTGAGGAGCCTGTATACTAAGACTTCTGGTTACAATTCCTTGGCTAATGCATTTTCACTGAATGCCAAACTGTCAGCAGGCTTCCCATTTTCTTCTCCATACCATCAGTAGTTGGCAATCATACTCAACCTCCTTTGGGTCACAAGGCACTTTTCCTACTCAGAACCTCCTTGTGTATAGATCTTTCTTCTGTGGTGAGGAACCTGTATACCTAGTCTTCTGGCTAGTGCATTTTCACTGAATGGCAAACAGTCAGAAGCGTTCCCATTTTCTTCTCCATACAATCACATCTACAGGTTGAGAACCACTGATTTAAGAGTTTAAGAAGCCCATCCATCCCTTTATTTATATTTTATCTTTTCCCAAAAAGTGGGATTGAGGGTGCCTACAGATTGTAAAGAAATACAAGTAATGGTAGGGGGAAGGCACAGAGTATAACATGATAGAATGGAAGACTGATCAAGAATGATTTCACCTGGATCTATATCAGGTATGGGCAAACTTCGGTCCTTCAAGTGTTTTGGTTGTCAACAATTCCTAACAGCTGATAAGCTAGCTGGGATTTCTGGGAGTTGAAGTTCAAAACACCTGGAGGACCGGTTTGCCCAGGCCTGATCTATACTATAATGAAAATACCACAGCAGACAACATCTGTTCAGATTGCTTTAGTTCTTACAGGCGTTCAGATACTTGAGTACTGCTGGCCTGGTAGGACACTAAGAAAGAGGGCAATTCTCTGGAAGCATCTCTCTCTCTAAAACTCTTGAACCACTGCCAAGGTCACGTACACTTGTGTAGGAGATTGCAAATGAAGTGACTGAAAGACTTGATGAGCATCCAGGTCTAACACACACTTAAGATGATTTTTTGTGAACTTTCTCATCCAAACTTTCCCTTAACTTTTGCTCCTTTTCATCCGAGTGGTACAGAAGGGTGCAAAACCACTAAATCAGCCTTTCTATATTTGGTGGCTTGAATTCCTCCCTTTCTCTTCTGTCTGGGAATTTTGATATTGACTTACACCAGAAGATATTTCAGTTTGACTTGAATGAAATAATGTCAGAAGTTGAAAATTGTCACACCACATCCTCAGAAGACATGCCCATTAAAACCTGATCTCACTGCCGCTGAGAGCTATTCTTAGATATATGCCTAATTTCGAATGAGTTTAAAAAGAAGCTGACATCTCAGTCTTTGGATTGTTGTAGGTTTTTCGACCATGGTCTAGAAGCATTTTCTCCTGACGTTTCGCCAGCATCTATGGCAAGCATCCTCCAAGACCTCACAACCTCGGGGGATGCTTGCCATAGATGCAGGCAAAATGCCAAGAGAAAATGCTTCTAGACCATGGCCATATAGCCCAAAAAACCTACAACAACCCAGTGATTCCAGCCATGAAAGCGTTCGACAATACATCTCAGTCTTTTCCTGCAAAGCTGTGACTTCTTGATCCTTTGGCAGAAGCTCACACTTCACACAGGACTACAGAATGTTTCTTTTAAAATAGCTGTTTCAGCTACACTTTAGTCTTCTACTTTAGGATATGCAGCACGGTTCTATCCCCCATTTTTCTTGGACGCAAACACCTACTAAACAAACGATTCATACGATCACCACACTTATCTTAAAGTTCAGATTAAATATGTGGCTTAGAAAAGGATACATGCAAGAAGAAACAAAAGAGAAAGCACTAGGGTATTACGCTGCATCTTCCTGCACTTTAGTCTTGTTGTTTACTCATTATAAGCATTATGTTCACATCTGGTGCATCTAGTATGCATCTAATATGCATCCTCCCCATTGGAATCAAAACTGCAAGTATGGGGAGAAAGTCTGAGTCACACATCCTCATTAATCCCTTTATTTGAACTCCTGAAATGTTGAAACCAGTGGGACTTGCCTCTGCATTAAACATGCTCAGAGTCTGTTGTAGTGCATTCTGAGTTTTTGATTAAGCTGGAACAATGAGATATCTCTATGGGAGCTGGAATGCCTTGAATACTGTATCTCAAGCAGACGGATGTGTCTGCCTGTCATCTTGTTCTCTTGCGTTTCATGTTCCTCAGTGATAACCAATTCTATGTACTATAAAAATGAAAATAAAACATATTTTACATAGCCTATGTTATTTTCATTGGAAAACTATGAAATAAGCAGTATGCCTTGAAGCTGTACATCCCCGATAGTGGAAAGTTTTGGTTACAGGACACCTTGTAGTCCTTGGATTCATTTAATTAAATGGGTCCCGAGGAACCCGTTTTCACAGCCTTGAGACTTTCTGTCCTAAAATTTGAAGCCACCATTTCAGTTTCCATGGAATCCCATTACAGAACTGATCAATGTGCTTAAGACTTAAAATATTGATTATCGCCTGTGCTTTCATGCTTGACAGTCCACTTCATCAGATGCATGTTGGTTGAGGTATAGCTTAGATCTCTCTCTCTCTCTCTCTCTCCATGCCTGGCTAACTACCTAGGTGCAATCCTTTCTTAAGACAGAAATCCCAAAAGATTTTGCATCCAATTC